TTTGTGCAGGGGAACTGCCTGCTGCCGGAAAACGGCGTCCCCATTCCGAAATTGCCCCTAGGGAGTGAGTCCTAAGCGGTGATGTAACGTCATCAACCACCATCCCCCGTGGTTTCGGAAGTAATAAAGTCTCATTGTTATTGGCGGACGGGAGGGGCCCCCCAGAAGAACGGCGAGTGGGGAATGAAGCGGTTCAAGGGGGCAAGAGAAAGCCCCAACCCCCCCATCCCCCCCCACTCCCAGGTCCCCCCCCCAGTCCACGGCGCGAGTGTGGGTGTGCGTGGTCGGCTGCCTTGGACATCCACTTTTCCTCTTCTTCCCCCCATTCCTCCACCCGAGCTCACTCGCTCCCTCATTCTGAGACCCAGCCGCCGGGGCACGAACTCCAGCAGCTCCAGCCCCGCCGGTGTCACAAGCACCACATCCGCCCCCTCCAACTCCGTGAAGAAGAAACACGACACCTCGCTGCGGCCCCGGTCAGTGCCCTGAGCGGGCGCGGCGGCGGGGAGGGGAGTAGGTTACTCACGCCGAACCGGATCGTACTTCATGTACGACCGTACGACAACTACCTCCCTAAGGCGAGTCGTACAGGGTTCCGCGACCTCCGTGAACTAACCACCCACGTGCCCCTAAACCCAGACCGGTTTAGGGGGGAATTCCGGCCCCAACTCCAACACCCGCACACACACGCGCGCACCTACTCCACCCTACCCGCACACACGCGCGCACACCAACCTTCCACTAACCCATTTTCTCCACCCCCACTCCCCCCCGCCCCCTTCTTGCCTGCACAAACACATTCCCCGTTGCCAGCTCCACGCACTCTATCATGACGCCGGAACGTTGTATCGCCAGCAGGCCCCCGTCCAGAGACAGCCTCAGCGCCCGTACGGCGGGGCCGTCGGACAGCGGGAATGTCCACCGCAGCTGCTCGGGGCTGCCCGGGGTGACGCCGGGGGACAGGTCGTACGCAAACACCAGGCCGCCCTTAACCACCAACAATGTGCTCGTCCCGTCGTCGTACCCCCAGTACGACAAGGTTTCCGGCTCCAGGTGCAAGCCTTGGTCAATGGCTACCACGTGGTGCAAGGTTCCGCCTCCGGAACCGTCGCCGCCACCGCCGGCATTGCCAACGTCCACCCCGCCGCCGCCGCCGCCATGGGTGTTGGTGTCGGAGATCGCAGCGGATAGGGGAGCTGCCGCGACGGCGGCGGGAACGACGGCCGCGGCGCCCGTGTACGACGACGATGGCGCCATTCACTGTACAATTGCTTTTCCCTTCTTCCTCAGCTAGGTGACTGCTTTGCAACCACCAACCAACCAACCAACTCCGTCGGTGCACGTGCCAACTAAATCTACGGCAACTGTCCACGAACGCACACCTGTCCTAGTGATGCCCAAGCCGACTCGTCGGACGTAACGGCTCTATCCTCTAACCTCCAACTCCCCGGCCGCCTCTTCCCCCACCTTCACCCCCAACACCCACAAAAACACGCACAGACTACCAGGGCACGACGGTGCACCCTGCGGGGGTTGGGTCGCAGTCGCACACGGCGGCGAATGAAGCCAGGGAGAAGGAAGAGAGGGGGTGCGGGTGTTCCCAGCACAGCCGACGCAACCCCCCAACAAAACAGACCCAAGATCCCACTTTGCTCAACCCCACCCTCACACCAACGTGGACCTCCCCTGGACCTTCCCAAAACACACGCACGCTCACACGCACGATCAGGAGAGGCAAGGTGAGGTGCGGCTCAGCTCCGTTGTCAACCTCCGCACCCGCAACCCCCGGGAGCAACAACTGCCGCCGCAGAGGTGAGCTGCGCTGAGGGCTTTCAGATGCTAAGGATGAACTTTTTTATTTCTGCAAGCAGTTCGGCCTTCACGCTGTCAGGAACGGTTGCACGACCCTCAGGTCGTACGGCACGTACGATGTCGTCGGTTGTGACGGTTTCGCGACCTTTTTTGGTCACGTACTCTGTGGCGTAGCGGAAGCCAGGTAGCGGGTAAGGCGGGGTTAGGGGGGGCTGGAGGCGTAGACTTGAGGGGGAAGGCATTCAAGGGCACATCTGGAGCTCGAATTTCCATGCGAGGGTATCCTGTGGTGGCCACCAGAGCTGGATGGTCAGGGCCCGTGCCGAAATAGATGTATCTATCGATGCGCGTATAACGCGTTGCGGCGCATAAGCAAGTACGTGTGGGCGTCCCCAACAGCGATGTCCGGCCCGTACCTCGGCAGCGCTGCTTTACGTCGTCACGCCAGCCGCAAGAAGCCAGACGGGATGCAAGGAGCTCCTTGAGAGCCTCACGCTTTCCAGAGCTAGCCAACTGTACAGCCAACAAAGACACCAGGACTCAGCTTTAGGCCATCATCGGAGCAAGTCAAAAGTTCCTACATGATGGCGTATCTTATCCTCCAAACGCAACTCGTCAACGGAATCAGCTGTTGACGGCGCTGAGCGCTTAAGGACGCCCCGCTCCGGGCCCTGGGACATTCCCGAAACAAGTTGCAGTTATGATTTCCCCGGACTATGGCTAAGGATATTTTGTTTGAGGATATGTGTGAGATTTGGACGGTCCTTCAAAAGTGTAGTGCACCTACGGTGAGAACGGCAACGTACAGGGGCCGAAGCTGCATGAGTGATTGCGTGAGGATCGCTGTGCCTATGCGAAGCAGGATAACTTTATGTTTTCTGTTACTGTTAAGGAATAAACCCTGCTGAGAATACTGTTGCAACGGCCGTCTGGTGTTGGACAACTGTGTTTAACCGCGACCAACGAGGCGCACTTGCAGCATTGCAAACGATATTTGGTTACATTAGAAACCAGTGATTATCAGTTACGGGCTTCACTTTTAAAGCTGAGCACACTATCGGTAGCGGTATGTCTAACCTTGAGGCAGTGCTGATTGCTAAGGGCATCAACGCGGATGTGGCTAAAGCTTGCTCACTGCTGTTCGGAAGCTATGAAGAGGTTGGTCACACATACTATCACATAGTCCAACCAAACTTCTCCCCGCAGCAACATGGAACATGGTCGGCTTGGCCAACAGGCTTAGCACGTTGCCATCGCCCATTCTGTCATCCACCCCAACCGGTGTTATAACACACAAATAAAGCTCCAAACAAAAGCGACACACAGGAAAGGGACACACTGCCCCAATCCTGACCCAGGAACCCATGCTTTACTGAGCCCTTGGGATCTGGACCACATCCGAATCTCCTCATTTCTTCTTCCAAACGTTTCTTCTTTAACCCCGCTCTCCACCCCCTTCGCCATACGCTATGCAAGGCTTTTCAATGTCCATCCACAATACTTCTCCGCCACCTGAATTAATATAACCCTGTGTGCCTTTCCATAGTTGCGATGTAGTATAATCCCCTCACCCCCATCACGCAGTTCCCTAACCGCTCCGAAGCCCCGCTCTTACGCCCCACTCCTCCTCCTCACACTTTGTGTGGTCCCCCGCCAACCCCACGGCCCCGTGTGGCGCCCAAAACACACACACACACACACACACACACGTGCAGGCCCTCCCCTTCATCGATCCGCCGGTGCTCCCCGGCGACATCAAAGAATACTACTCCCTAAAGTACCACCGTTACTACTATCACTGCAGTACAACCGACATAACCACCTGGGAACTACCACCCCAGGTAACGGGGAGGAGGGGGAAGACAACGGCCGGGGCCCAGACTGGCTTGGGGCTGCGACGGGGGGGGGGAAAGAGGGGGCTGACAAGATAGAGGGGGAGGATAGACTTACACTCGGCCTCGGGGATGTTGCTTTGTATATGTGCTGCAAAGGTGCCTCCGTGCACAGATGCACGTCCTCACTCGGCGCCAAATATCGGCTATTGACCATCTACCATGGCCCCAACTGCCGGCTTTTCCGGACGTCCCCCGCGCATGCCCCCGCGGAATTTGCAACTTTGAACCTAGAACTTAGTGTTTGATACTTACTACCCCCGGAAGCGGGGTCGGCAGTTGGTAGTTCGAACGGCGGCATTCCCCTTACCAGTGAATAGAATGAGGGTGATTAAAGTAGGGGGCTTGTGGGGCGCGTGTGTATGTGTATGTATGTGTGTCTGTCTGAGGCTTCGAAGCAAAGGACAGGAAACCAACACAGGCAGGCAGACATGCAGCAGGAGGAGATTGGATAGGAGAGCAACAGCAGGCCGCAGAACGCTGCTGCTCAGCGCCGCATGCATGTGTAGAGGGTGTGTATGTTGTATGTGTAAGTATGTATGTTTTGTGTGTGTGTTAATCATGTTTGTGTGCTATTCCAACCAGGGAGGTGACAGTTAGGCGACATCTCTAAATGTAAATGTACGTGCTGATAAGCACGTGTGTACGCATGTACGTATGTATGTATGGTTTATCAAGTTAAGTATATTGATAAAATGATCTATGTATATGTATATATGTATGTATGTATGTATTGTATGTGTTTCCTCTCCCGGCCTGCAGTTGCAGCTGTCCGAATGGCTGCTGGACGCGTCCACCACGGGTATGGATGTACGGCAGTGTCGTAAATTGCTATCAGCGGTTCTGAGGGCGGTGCAGACCAACGCGCACAAGGTAATAGTGATGAGGGCGGGGCCCCCCGACAGGTACTGCTACTGCTACTGCTGTTGCGGCTATTGCCACTACAACAAGATTTACAACAGGACTGGGGGGGATGTCCGTTAAAGATTGTTCCTGCCTTCTCTAGGATTCCCCCTCATCCAGTCCTCCTCACCCGGACATCCGTAGTACGGACAGAGCGGGCCCCCCTACCCCCCCCGAGCAATCGCTGCCCAGCCGCCCAGCCAGCCGCCCAGCCAGCCAGCTCGGTGCGGAGCCAGGTCCCTCAACTGCGACCATGACCTCACCTCCGCACCCCAGCAGCTAGCCGTAACACCTCTCTCACGATCCCGGCCGATGCCGCGGCGGGTTTCTACCTAGGATTGGAACCCGGGACACGGGAGTGGGGTTATACCACTACCACTACTACGAAATGCAGTGCTGTGGTGTCACCAGACCAGACCAGACCTACTGCTGCTGCTGAGGGAGCCTCTGCGGCAGAGTCCGAGTTGGGCAGTCGGGCTGCAGCAGGCAGCTTAAGATGAACACAGCAGCTCCATACACTCCCTCCCCCCCCCAACCACACCCGCACCCAGCCCCCCCCACACGCATCACGCCACCCTGGAGCTGACTAGGGCTCTTCAAGGCGGTCCCTGTGCTCCTCGATGCCGCCCAAGGCCCAACCAGCTGAGGGGAAGTGGGCGATAAAGCAGCCGCTAGGAACGGAGCAACAGCGCAGCTCCCCCGGGGGCCGGAGCCCCTTAGGAAGGGAGTTAGCGAATGCCCAGGCTGCGAAGCTCTTCTGATTGAAATAGGCAGAATGACTTCACCAGGCGAGCTGATATCTGAGATTCCGATCTCGACTGCCATCCAGGCTGTCGTACGGCAGTCGTACAGAACCAGCCTTCGTGACTCTCCCCGATCGCTACAAGCCGTCACATGCAGTAACGCCAACAAGTCCCCTCGGCTCCCATTTCCCCCTCTCTCCCTCCTCTTTCCCCCTCGGAATCCGGGGCCTCCTTCAACTCCCGTGCACCCCCTTCGCGCCCAGGGCGAGTCGCTGTGGACTGCCCTGACTCTGCTGGGCCGCTTGACAGGCAACATCGTGGGCTGCGGAAACACCGTGGAGAAGTACAGGTGGTGGTTAGGGTGGTTGGGGCGGGTTCGGTTGGGTAACTGGAGGAAGCTATAACCGTTAACTATTCAGGTCCGAACCGACCGGATAGCAGTACGGGGCCCCTTGGGGGGGGAAAAGAGTCCGTTGTTGCGCGGGGAGGATGCGCTGTGTGTGTGTTATGTTATGTTATGTGGTTACAGTATTTCCGCCGCCGACGCGGCGGGTGCCCTCACGAGCCGTGAGGCTCCAGAGCACGCTGTTGACGCTCATCGAAAACCTCAGTAAGGAAAGTAGCGATTTTCCTCGGATTGGTATTAAGAAATACCTTGCGCATATCAGTATCTTCAACGTTAATCAGAAACCTATTACGCAACTCAGTATACGCCTCACACTCCATAAGCACATGATATTCATCCTCAACCTTACCCGACGTACAGACCCGACACGTACGGCACTCTCTCGGCCTATGGTGCCCTTTGTTGACCTCCAAAGGCCAACAACAAAGACGGAATTTGGCAACCATACGCAACTGGTTGACCGGCAAATAAACACGCAAATAGCCTGTGGGATCGGAGCCCTCTCTTGCGGGTGAAGGGGAGCCCATCCAGTTATGATACCTGCAAAGCGAAACCCCTTTACCTTGGAACACACGCGGATCACCCCCTTGGCTGAACTGATCCCAGTCACTGAAAAGGAACGCAGATAACCTCTCCAGAACCTCACCCACTCGAATCAACTGAGACGAGTACACATCTACCTTCTGAGAGACGGAGTCACACGCCGGCCACTCATGACCCAACCAACGCAAAATGATGAGCACTTTAGACGACCAGCAATCCACTTTGAGATCAGACAGAAGAGCCAGACGGAGATCATCTACTAACACATCATGATAGACCGACCCACGGGACTTGACTATCTTATTCCAGAAACACAACGCAAGGCGTAACCAAAAGTACTGCAAAGGCAACTGAGACAACTCCCTGTACAACAGCTTGTAAGGTACCTGCTTGAGCCCAGCACAACGTAAACAGAAGTCACGCTGGACCTGAACCATACCATCTTCCAAAGCCAAATCAAAATATGACTTACCTGCGGGTAAAACACCTTTACCTAACCGCAGAACGGAGACAATCCTATCAGGACCCCAGACCTCAGCACCATAACAGAGAACTGAACGAACCTGGGTGTCGAACGCTTGAAGCCGAACGGCAGGAGCCCACACCCTGTTCTCATCCAACCGATTACTAAGACCGAACATAGCCGTGTCGCCCCGCTTCCAAAAGTTCGTTAACACAACTCGCAAACGGGGACGCAGGGCCCCAATAGAGACCCAAGTACCTAACGCGACCACACCAGTTAATAGGACTAGGGACAAGTAAACTACCAACCATGGGTGGGTGCCAAAGCGACCCATCAGTACGAAGAGGAAGCATGGGCCTCACCCCCTCAAACGCCCTCTTAACGACATCATCCGAAGCAGCCACAACAAGGGCCTCACATTTCCGAACGTTGCAGCGCATACCAAAAGCAGCACAGAACTCAACAAGCAGCTTAAGCGAGAACTGGAGGCGTGCCAACGAGGTCGCGAACAAAGTAAGGTCGTCTGCATAGAACAACAGAGGCAACCGACGATCATTAATGACAGGACATTCGTGTGCACGTGTGTTAAACCATTCGTCCATACCATCCCTCGCTTCAAGGTAGTCGGCAATAACCTCAATGAAGATCTGAACAAATTGGGACTCATGGGGCACCCCTGCTTCACACCCTGCAGAGAGGCAAAGATGGACCCCAGGCGACCGTTAACCTTGACCCGTTGGAGAACACGTTCGTAGCTGGCTTTAAGGGCCGCCAACATGGGTCCATGAACACCCCTCTCCTCAAGACGCTGCCACAGGCTCGCCCGGGGCACTCTATCAAAGGCTTTCTCAAAGTCCACCTGACACGCATACAGGGCCTGATTGCTGCCGGGCCGCTCATAACGACTTTTAAGATGACGGACAACGAACAACTGATGAACTGTACTGCGCTTTTGACGGGACCCAGCCTGAAAACGGCACCGGACACCATCTTTATCCCCGAAAGCCGCCAGCCGCCTGTCGAGAACCGTGGCATAGCATTTGGCAATGGCGCATCCCACAGCTAGACCCCTGTAATTGTCCTTGACCCTGGGGTCGCCTTTCTTAAGTAACGGACTGAGGGACGCCACGCAAAACTGGTCAGGCACATCCCCTGTATCCCAAATGTGCTGGAAAAGGTCTCGAATCGCAGGGGCAATAACATTGACAGACACCCTGTCCTCGTCACCTTCACGAGGGATTCGCTTGGCATACTTGTAGCACTCGGCCGGAACCATACCCAGACCCGGGGAACGCCCATTAGACAGGGACGACAAAGCCGCCTCGACCTCTTCAAGTGTGAGCGTGTGTGAGAGGGGGCACGAGGGGAGTCAGCCGGTGCTGGTGCTGGTGCTGGTGCTGGTGCTGGTGCTGGTGCTGGTGCTGGTGCTGGTGCTGGTGCTGGTGGCGTGTTTTCCTCCTGGTCTACTATTTGGGCCCTTTTCCGTTTTTACCTTCTGTAGAACCCCCCCGGTCCCCCCCACACAACTAAGACAGGAGTGGCGCGTGTTCCCCACCCTCCCCCTTGTTTCCCCCCAGGACTGTACGGACGTCCAACCCCAAGATTCGTGAGGCTCTGGATGTGGTCCCCGGGGCCGAGGCGGTGCTGCTGGCTGCGGGTTTCAGACACGGCGGTTCAGACACGCTCGCCTTTCCCCCTCCCGGTGATGAGGGGGGGGCCATGAGGGCCCTGATGGCGGTGAATGCCAAGCTCCACCAGCTCATATCTCGAAAGGTGGGAAGGGGTAAGGAGAAGGGGAGGGGACTTCAGACACGTGTACGACATGTACGACACGTACGACTTGACATGTATCTCTTCCTCAAAGCCCCCTACGGGCGACAAGGGCGAAGGGAGGAAAGCAAACACGTCGTACACCCGCCATATCTCTCCGCCTCCTCTCCCAGCCGCCCTCCTCACCCCCATGTGCCCCTTTCCCCCCCACCCGCCCTTACCGTCTACCTATGCTTTCAGCATCACCCTTCTGTGTTTCGTCTCCTCCCCCCCCACCCCCACCCCACCCCACCCCACCCCACACCCCCAGGGTTTCACGGGCATGTCCCAGGACTCGGACGACACCGGGTCTTC